TTACTTAGCTCGCCAACGTGTTCTGACCAATTCAGAGTGTCATCCAAGGTAACGCCCAGAACCTTGCAACATGTCAACCTACTGCTACTAGACACTAATAAATTCTTCCTTTTAGCTTCATTACGTTGTAGATTATTTGCTGAAAACCATGCTTTGGCCTTAGATAAAGTATATGTTTCAATATTACTCAGGATAGTGATGTTCCTGTTTGAATTAATAAACGCTGTGTCGTCAGCAAACAATTATGTACTGGCAGATATCATTTATGTATATAATAAAAAGGAGGGGTCCCAGAACGGAACCCTGGGGTACTCCAAACTCAACACAAGCCAAATCAGACTTATTGTTCTTTACGCTCACAAACTGTTGTCTATCTGTTAAATAGGACTTAAAAAGTTTGAGTGGAACACCACGCACTCCATACAATGCAAGCTTGGTCAAGAGAATCTGATGAGAAACACAGTCGAAAACCTTTGAGAGGTCGCACTGTGATGTCATTAAGTGTTCTCCCCTTTCCAGGTCCCCGACTATGTCCTCCACCACCCTCATCAAAATTCTAGTTGCCTCTCTTTTAACAGGATTTCAAAAACATTAGAACAAACAACAATGATAGAGATAGGACGATAATTATCCACCATCTGAGGGTCTCCGTTTTTAAATATTGGCGTTACTTTAGAAATTTTAAAAATACTTGGGAATATTCCTTCAGTACAACAACAATTTATCCAACTAGTCAAAGATTCCACCAAAATATCCGCAGTCTCCTTGAGTATTCTGCTATTCAAGCCAAATGCATGAAGCGCTGATGAACTCTTTAAGTTCATTATTGTTGAAAAAACTTCTTCAGGGGTCGTAGGAAACAAGTAAAAAGAACAATCTGGTGCCCTCAAACTATTTTAAAAAAAACAAGAGCAACCCAATGTTGAATTTGGAAGATTTTTTATGATGTTATTGGGAATTCCACTAAAATACTTATTAAAGTGACCTGGTAATAAAGTTGCCCCAACACAGTGCCTGTCTCGATTATTTCTGTCTAACCTAGCCTAACAAAGGCTTTCGATGGCTTCTCACAAAATCCTTTTTGTCTTACGAAGTGGGGGGAAAGCCACACTTTCTTATACGGTCATATGCAGGAGATTTGTATTGACGACTGTTACATTCTGGTAAATAGTGCCGGAGTACCTCAAGATCCGGTTCTTGGTCCACTCCCACCCGACATATACATAAATTGATTTTCAGCATTATATGAAACCGACTAGTGCCGCCTTATACAATATTTATTTCTTTGACTGTGGCCTACAATACGGCTGTATAATAAAACTAAGTATTCATTTTGTTGATGTCCTAAAACACTTTGGCAAACTATCTACAAATTCTCTAAAACTTTAAAAAGTAATTAAACTTTTAATATGGTAATGTCATCTTACCATACAATTTTCCATTAACACCTTAGTTACGGTGCTGTACTTTCAGGAATATCCTTAAAAATTTGGTATTGACATTATCTTCAATTCTCGTTTAACAGACCCTTCTAGAAATTCATAGCCGGTCTGACGGTTTCAAAACACATTCTTGGTGCAGGCTGCCAACTTCAACGCAAAACTCAATTCATATTGCGTTTTATGATAATTTAATAGACTGAACAAAATTGATTTCATTCTATAGCTTTCAAAACAGTAATAAAAAATGTCTTACGGTTTCTGTCTAATATGTCAGTGTGTCTCGTTTTGCGTTTTATTACTGTGATTTTTTACTTTGTATTCTGCTTGTTGAGTTTGACAAGCAGCATAACAAGAATCTATTACAATAGTAATATCGTTATTTTCCTGAAGTCATGAATAAATGGTAAAACATCAGCGGCCCCAGCACAGAACCCTGCGGCATGCCAATACGAAAATTGGAGCTCGACGGCAGACATCTTTCGATCTCGCTCCTAAGTAATTTATCAAATCCGTTTTTAATAATAACGAGGGACATAGTGTTTTTATATAAAAAAAAAACAGCGTAATGAGAGACCCCGGATCATTGCTTGAAAGTTTGCGTCAGCAAATTATTTCCTAGCGCCATCGAGGTCGTTCCGCGATAGGCCAAATAACTCCGGGGATATCGGCGGGGGGGGGGAAAGAAGGAAAATAAAACTGAGAAAAGGGGCTTTTATCTTACGCCCGGATAGACAGATAAAAATAAATTTTTGCGCCCAAAACAGCAGAGTCTCCGACTTAGTTAGCGATCTCCGTTTCCGGTAATCCCGGAAATTCTTTTCCCCTCATATACGAGAGGGATCGGAAACTTTGTTTCTAATTCTCGATCCTTCTGGAGTTTTGATTGGTTTACTATGTTCGACGTAATGTAATTTGGAAAATATTTAATGAAAAATAAAGAGAGAAAATGTATTTCTCTTCCTGGGTTCTCCTTTCATTAAATTTTAAATCAAAAATTAACCTATCCGAACAAGCAAACAACAAAACAAAAGAAGAGACTTTAAACATTCAAAATAGTGCTATACAATTAATTAATTAAATACTCGGAAAGCCATACTGAGGCATTCCTTCCTAGCATGCCATTTTAGATGGATCATACAGGGCGTTTTAAAAGTTTAAGATTTTGTACAAGAGTTCTAGACATGTTCTTTTAAATAGCACACCATGTATTTTCTTTGTTAAGTTCATTTCGAAAAATTTCGCAAATAACAGTTTATAGTGGAATAAGTGTGGTATTGGTATTGGTATTAAAGGGGGGCGCCCTCGCGGGCGTCCAAGCACTTAGGCCACCAGATGGGCCCGTTGTGCCCCCAGGCCGCTCTAGAGGGCGTCCAGAATGCCGCCCCTCCTGTAGAAGGTCAGCAACTCCTTTAGCCCAATACCGTGCACTGAGTAAGTGTGGTAAACGGCATCTATGTCAGGCCGGGAAATTTTGGCGCTAACCTCGTACCATTGTTGATCATCAATTGGAAAAAAAAACACTTCGAAAGCGCTGAACCTTACGGTACTTAAAATAAGTTTGAATTCTGGCGTTCACATGGGCATCGTGGGTCTCTGTAGTGTTCCGCAAGGAGATAATTGGTTGGTATTGGCAGGGAGAGCGTTCCCATATCTTCCGCGCAAAACCGTTTAAGTTAATCGTTTTCCGAAAGTAATAAGCCAATTCTGGCCGGGATCGGCTTATTACTATTAACCGTCGATATTGCTAGTTCGAATTTCGATAGAGTCTCGTCCTAAAAGGCGATCCGACGAGGATTATTGTCGAAATTGTTTTAGAAAGTCGACGAGTATTGAGCAGCGGGCGGAATTAGTTTTCCTTTTTTCTCCGCTCCAAAATTGGATGAGTTTTACATTGTGTGTGTCGGGTTCCGCGGACGGGATTGCAGAAGACATTTGCGACTCTAGTCTGGGCTGAGAAACGGACGACCAATACCGGGAGACCGAATGGAGGAAACGAGGAGATGGCGCTCGAGTAATATAAATTCAAATTAAAAAATTCGTTAAATTTAAAACAAAAATTATTGAACCGGAATTCAGTGTTAAAACATTAACCAAAAAAGGGGTCAAGATTTCTGCCTCTAACGTGTGTACCGTGCCTTCAATTTATCTTGATAACAATTTAATTGGCTGTAACTTTTTTGTTTTTAGAGATATCAAGGTAAACAAGAAAACAAAATGTAGGGTTAGGAGCCGAGCTTTTTTCCAAATAACGTATAAAACAAATCACTATCAATTTTCTGACATACATCCTACATAATATTTTTTTAATGGAACACCCTGTATATAATATATAGAATTTTTGACAAATAGGCAAAAATAGGATTTTTTTATAATTTCATTGACTGCAACAACAATAATTATTTACAAATTAAATTAGAACAAAACCGCTAAAAATAACAAGACACACTAAAGTAAAAAATTGTGTAACTATTCTAAAAACTGCTGTATGTGATCCCAATTTCCTGAACACATTTCTCATACACTGATTGCCTCTGAAATCCTTTGCCGAAGTTCCACGATATTATTACAACGAGTTCTGTGCTCGTCATTTTTTATGTGTCCCCAAAAGAAAAAAATCCATTAATGTTATGTCGGGGCTGTTGGTTGGCCAATCCACAATTCCGCCGTTTCCTATTCAACCTCTGGAATATTCCATGTTAAGAAAATTTTTAACTTGCACAACATTGTGAGGAGAGACACCGTCTTGCTGCCATATAATCAGCGCTGATGTATTTAAGAGTAAATTTTATATATATTGGACTATTTGGTGCCCTAAGAGTTGCAAATAATGGTCTCCAGTTAAATTTTGGACTATAAGTATCGGACCCAAAATATGCCCGTCTATGACACCACACCATACATTAATTGACTAGTACCCCTGGATTTTTATTTCGTAAATTTGCTTAGGATTATTTTTAGGCTAATATCGCGTATTTTGTCTATTTGTCTTTACTTATTTCGCTCATGCTAAATTTCTCGAAAAAATATCTTAGCAATAATGACTTGGACAATAATTCAACCATCAACGTTATTCACTAATATGTCAAACATAAACATATTTGTATTTGTTAGTCAGGGCACTCTTTTAATGCATATATAATATACAGGGTGTTCCATTTAAAAATATATGATATAGGATTATATGTAAAAAAATTGATAGTGTTTTGTTTTATACGTCACTCGGAAAAAAACTTAGCTATTAACCCCACATTTTATTTTTCTGTTTACCTTGATATCTCTAAAAACAAAAGAGTTACAGCTAATTAAAATATTATCAGGATAAATTGAACGCACGTTAGAAGTAGTTAAGCCTGACGCAGGTTTATCTTTTTCTACTGCCGCTTAAACTCGTTTAACTTTTATATCCTCTTCCTTCGGGATGAAGTTTCCTTTAATTTGGACTTAATTTTTTCTTTTCTCTCGTTCAGGAGGGACAGCGCGTCCGGCTTCGTTTTCTAATTCTCCTTCTTCCTCCCCCGTCGAGAAAAGTATTATTAACGCAAGCCCCATTTGTTCCAGCCTGCAACCGGACGTATTACGGTGACGTGGGCAAGACCTACGACCTGCGGGTAATTAAGGGTCCGCAGGCGCGTCTCCCCTTCCTCTGCCATCTGACGTTCACCGCCAACGGCCAAAGCCACGGAGACATCGTCCAGGTAACAACCCGTGACTCTCCCCCGCCCCTCGCTAGCTCGCGTCGTCGTAAAAGACAAACAACTTTTAATTTGCATTACTCCGCGAATTAAGGCTTCCCGGGATGGTAGCAAATTGCGGAAGTTTGGTATTTGTTTTGACGCCCGGATTTTACCGGGATGCATAATACATGCGCCCCAGGGAAAGTTTCACGTCGCCGCACAGTGCTCCACGCCATGGGCAAAATTAGAAGTTTTCACTTTTTTTTAAAGCATTCATAATATTATTTTCTGATAAAGGTATATCTGAAATTATAAAAACCGATGGAATCTTCAATTGCAATCAATCAAATGACAGTCACGTTTTTAATACAAGCTTTATGTAAAATCTGTTCATAGATATAAGAAAGTGACTAACTGATACGAATTAAGGAAAGACCCGGTCAAGCTGTAAGAATGAAATATGGCCGAACAGGTCCTTACTTTGCTTAGAATTTAATTATTTGGAGTTTTGTTAGGAAAGATACTAAAGAAGATTTATTTATTTATGTATGTATTTATGTTTAAATCTAAAATAAAATTACAAATTATTTTTATTACCTACTTAAATTACTTAAAATTATTCACATATCACTATCGCTATCATCGACTGTTCTAATTATAATTTGTTCTATATTATTTGCAATATGGATTGTTCTGCTTTTTCTATATATTTAACAGAATTTGCCCAACTTTCGGGAGGGAAGTTAAAAACTTCCGGTTCTATAAGTTTGAGGACATTGGAATTAACACGGGGAAACACATTGATAAGACGAAAGCAGATTTCAGTTGGTGCCAAACATGTTCAATGGGAGTAAATATACAGTGGTAAGGTGGAAGCCTTAAAACTATATGCCCTAGATTTTTTGCATAATTGTCACAGACGTATTCCTTTTGTAGGTTCAAGCTTTGTAGAACCTCAATTAATTGCTTTTTGGTATAATCTTCGTGAAAATAAATGTCGTTATTATACATGTAGTTTTGGATTGTTGCTTTTGTGTCACATGAGGAAGGGGTTTTTGTCAACTGTCTACTGGTCTACTGTGATAACTTGCATTGTCCATTACAATTACGCTATTAGGAGGAATGTTTGGAACTAGTTTGTTTTTAAACCAACTTTCAAATAAATCAGCGATGGTGTCTTCATGGCAATCCAGAGCAGAATCTTGAATATTTTTCGCAGAAAGAGAAAGTCAATTTGGAATCCAACCATCTTTAGAGCCAGCATGCAAAATAGTTATTCTTTTACCACTTTTTGATGGCGCGTTTGTTTTACACTTATCAGTTGAGTCAATCCAACCATTTTCCGGGGTATTATAAGTGTCGAACCAGGTTTCATCCAAGTAAATAATTGGCCTTTGTTGTTCTCTGCAAATACTAATTTTTTCTAGATATTCCAGTCGCCATTTCCGAATTCTAAAAAATTCTATTAAAACTTGCCTTTTGTCATATTTTTTAAATCTAAAACCCATGTGTTGAATAGACTTCCATAAGGTAGTTCTGCCACATTTAACACGGGTTTCATCTTTTTCAAGTCTCCTAATTAAGATATCTAATGTAGGCACGCTTTGTTCCTCGTATAGCTCGTAAATTTTACGCCGTATTATATCTTGATCACTTTCATCTACACTCGAGAAAATGTCAGCATCGCTTCTTTTTTTCCTCGCTGAAATGGGATTATTGACAATTTTCCATACAGTTGATGTTGGAATTTTCGTCAATGTTGCCGTTTCTTCTAAAGATGCTTGCTTGCTGGCACCACGTTCAATAAGAGTCAAATAAACATTGTTTATAACTGCCTTAGTCTCAATATAATAGTGTTTTCTACATTTGGGCGGGAGCATCTCCTGAGATACACTAGACTCGCACGTATTTTGCATAATTCGCACACGATTCAACACACACTGTATTACACACGAAATAAGAATCATTACTAATAAACTTAAACTAAGTAGTATACCAAACCAAAGAACATTAAACACAAGTAGAAATAACATTATTTTCTATTACGGATCACAGTTTTACCTGAATTTAAATTCCGAAACTTTAGGTAATAATCTTGTTGCATTGTATGTTTTTTTAATAAGTCATCACAGACGCATGAATACGCAGACGACAATAGACATGACCTCTGGAATCCCCAGAAAACCAAAAGAAACTTTCGTAAATTTTGAGAACGCCGCAAAGAATATGGGATGGCTGTCACGAAAGAGCGCGAGACTAGAAACAGGTATTTACATTGGCAGGCTACATTGTGCCCACCAAAAGGAACGTAGAGGGCATACCATAAGGCAATAGAAGCAAGAAGACCGAAGCTAAGATGGAGATGCAAATGTTGGTGCAGCAAACTGGATGCTCCTTGCAAATGACCGGAACGGATGGCGTTCAACGCTGGAGAAAGTCGAGCCACCCACCCTCCTGTAGGGCTATAGAATTTTTAAGATAAAATGGAACATTTTGACTACCAACTTCTTCACTGCAAAACAGAATTGCAATGGTCTCGCTGGGATACATTTTCAATCAATGATTTCCAGAAGCTGTCAGTTTTTTTGAGTTCGCGACGTTACGGCGTTAGAAACAACCTCCTCCATCGTTCCTATCATTCTGTACTTCGCTATAATTTCAATGATAAGTTATAGTATAGAAAAGTACCCTTCGAATTCTTATAAAACCACCGCTAAAGGCCGCGACACAGAGACACACCCCTCCCGTCGCTTAGATCGTCCGGGAGGGGTGGCGACCGCAGTGGCTGGCGGTCGCGGGCGGGGGGATTATAATTGCTTGCCGTTCTCCTCGCGGTGATTTATCTAACGTCACGGAATTAACATGATTTATTCCCGATACAAAACTAATTTAACGCAGGTTAGCGTTTCAACTGGTAATATTGGACCTATTCATTGTATATCCCATCGGACGGGAGATTAATAGTCCAACCTAGCGTACTCCATATACGTGCACGACGGTGGGCGGGGAGGCTTTTTGTTGTGTTACGCAATAAAGCGACTCGATGCCGCCTCCAGCACGCATCCGCTAATGTTGATTTACATTTCTCATTTGCGCGGGGCCCTTGTTCGCAAAATAAACGATCGATCCGCGCGTTTGTTTCTTCGGACCAACTCTCCGAAAGCACTCCGCGTTGTTTAATGAGGACGGACGAGCGCCATTTTGCACGATCGACGGGCCGGACAACACTCGGCGAGATCCTCGTGAGACCCCAAGCTAGTTAAACCACTTTAACCTGGATTTTGAGCTTCTCCATGCCGCTCTTAGAGATAGATACATTCGTCCTATATTTTCTCTCGAGGCTATATTGAAAATTTTAGGCCAGTAGAACATAGACACTGACAGTCTTTTAGTTCTCTCTTAAATAATTTTGCACTCTGGAAGCAGTCAAGTTGGTGGGAGAAGCGATTTGCTAATGCCGCTGACCTAGTAAGAGAAGAACTCTGCCCGTGGTTAGTACGATGGAAGTAGTGATTTTTTCTGGTCTCTCGGGGGGAAACGCGAAGCCCAATCTTATATAACAGCTCAGGTCCTTGAGAATTTGAGTGCAGTAGATGATAAAAAATGGTGAGATCCCTATGCTTGCGACGAATCTAGAGAGTTGTAAGTTGGAGAAAGATTTCCAATTCCGAGTATGGACTTCCTTAAATAAGTCCTTGGTGATCCTCAAATGCTATATACCGCAGGAACCTGTGCTGCACTCTTTTTAGGGCCTGTATGTGGACTTTATACGAAAGTGACCACACACAGGAATAATAATCCAGGTGGACGCACGAGGGAGCAGAACAGTAATGTGAGAGACGGAATACTCTATAAGTCTACTGTACAACGCTTTGTAAAGCACAAAATCTGAAGTGTTTTAGACGCAATAGGTGAAACATAGTGTGTGTAAGTCAATTTTATATCGACTAACACTCCAACATCCCTTATTACGGAGGCCTGCAATAACGGTGACCCTTTTGTGTTGTAAGTATAATGTAGACATAGACATAGCATAGACATTGAAGAGTAGGGATCCCAGGTGTGATCCTCTGGACGCGCACAATCTGCACTCCTTCAGTAAGGTGCGATGTTAACCATTTCAAAAGGTTTGCCTGGATTCCAATGTTTTGCAATTTTCTAATTAAGATTTGATGATTTACCCTATCAAATGCGTTTGAAAAGTCTGTGTAAACGGCATGAACGTGAGACGCCTCTTCCAATGATTCCTGCGGAAAATCTGTAAATGTAAGCAAGTTTAGCTCAGTGGAGCGATGGAGGAGAAATCCACCTTTCAGTCCAGCAGATAAATAGTCGCAGACTAAATTATCGAACACTTTAGGAATACAGCTCAGCAACAATTATTGTTGACTTGCAAGTTATCGCCAGATTTAAGGATAGGGGTAATGAAGCTTGATTTTCAGCAACTTGGAAAAGTTCCCGTTTTTAAAGATCGGTTAAAGATAATATAAAGTGGTCTAGAAAATATGACACTATAAGATATGGTGGGAGGCCATCGGGAGCGGATCCTTTGTTTTTCTCAAATACACTCTCTACTATTGCCTGATAATTTGCACAAACAAGAAACCATCTAGCTTAAGCTATTTGTTAATGACTCGCAGTCAAAGTCAGTTGAGTTTCTCTATTTAATCTTTATTCCATACTAAAACATGCAGTGGTCAATTCTACATCGTCACATCCCTGTCTTGAGTGTCTAGAATCAGCTCGTGGAATGATTTATATTTCATGATTGAGAATTTTTTTTATTGGGAAAACACTAGACAAGTATTATTGAGGAATATATATTTGAAGCTAAAACGAAAAAAAATTGTTTAACCAAAAGTTCATGCAACCCTAGGCACGGCACGCAGGTTAATAAAAAAGATATTTTCTGATTTATGATGAACTGAAGCAGAAACTAACCCAAATTCAATGGAAACTAGGCATACCAGAGTTTTGAAAAAAGATATTTTGCATTTGCAAAGAAAAAAATTATTGAAAAT